CCACCTAGCCCCGGGGCCTCCTCCACCTAGCCCCGGGGCGCCGTGGGCCTCCAGGCCGGCTTCCTTGTCCGCGCACTCTCAGCGTTATTTATCAACGTGGTTTTTCCACTGGTCACGCCTCCCGATTTACTGCGGGAAGCTTGAAAAATACGAACTATCCAAATGTAAATACCTATTTAGCATGTATTACATTCATAGCAGGGTTTCTGTGTGTTGTCCGTCACGATGACTGTTATTAACAGGCCATAAAATCCAGCTAAAGAACTGAATCTCCCATCAGAACTAATCCTGTAACTTCCATTTACTGCCTATAGCATTAAGGCAGACCCGAGGATAAAACAGCGCTCCAGGGATACGGAACAATCTTTTTTCCTCATTACTTATTCTTACAAAGAAGAAAAACATGTACTTTTGAGGACATGTTAATTGCAGAATATTGAAACAAAATCCGCAAGCACCAGTTACAGAAATTACACTTAGTTAAACTGTATTTATACTAGAAAGCAAGTAATTCTTTGTAAAATTAAGATAGCTGTCCAGAAAGCTTATTTCTAAAGAGCGACTGCAGTGATCATTTGGGTACAAGCCAAGACAGGCTAGTTGCTCGTACTGGTCCTCAGCACAAGAACTCCCTCATGTATCTCAGCCTGTCGAAAGGAACTGAAAAAATAAGGAAAGTCTGCTGCAAAAAGTCTTCATACAGACCACCTATGCTACATGGCTGTACTGCAGGTTCTACTGTTGCACTTAATCCCACTGCTAATAAATTTTAAATAATTAAACTCATGTTCTCAGCCGTTTCAATTTATCTTTCTGTATCACAGCTACCAGACCCTCTGGGACCGGTCGGATCTCCCTGCAGCGGTGACCTTCAGCTGATACCAGCCCGCAGCCCAGCGAAGTATGCTGTAAAACTCTCCGCATACTTCCTGCTAGACCTCAATGCTGAAGATTTGTTAGTGTTGGCAACAGACTGAGAGCTGCTCTTGTGCAATACTTCATTGTGTTTGTCTCCATTTTTCCACCAGCCTTGCTAAAATGATTCCTTCTCTAACTTCATTACATTTGCTTTAAGATTCCTACCGATTCGTGTCCTCAGACACACGGCTGTGGACTGTCCTCCTTTTCAGTCACATCCGCAGAGAGGACAATTCCAGGAGGAGAAACTCCTGTCTTCCTTCCCCCCCTTTCAGAAAGCATCTAGGAAGCTCGCAGAAGTTCCCTGGCAGGAGAGGGGGAAGGGCTGCATGACGCCGAGCCACGGCTTCGGCCCACCGTGCCTCATCCATCACTTCCTAGAAGCACAACGCTATTAAAACAATAGCGGGGACTCCGTCCAACTCCAGTCGCTCCTGGGAAGGATTACGTAAAGAGCCAGCAGAGCCATGCAGCTTAGTGTTTTCCATAGCAGCCTCCCTCGCTCCTTCTACACCTCCAGGCGTACAACTTCCCCAAGGGCCCTCTCTCATCTCACAGGGCACACGACAAGGTCCGAAATCCTTCCAGATCTTCTTCTGCATGGCAGGCGAGAAATGGACATTTGGAAGATCACTCCACTTAGAGACGTGGGGTGAAAGGAAAGGGTCGGGAGGAATGGATGAACAAAATAACAGCCTGGTAGCGTGGAATCTGATCGTTTCCTTTCCAGTGTCCACTTTGCAAGCCCACAGACACACGAACTGGCTCTTTCAAGAGCAAGGCAGTTCCCATGCAACTAATCACTAGTTACGTAGATTAAAGGGCTGCTGGACTGGGCCAAAATACTGACAAATAGAACAGTATAAAAATGAGTAGCTCTGGCCATCCCATTCAACCTTTTGGTTTCACTTTATTAACAAATACCTACACTGCGAGAACAAGTACATATTGATATAAGGAAAGCTAAGCAAATATTCTCAAAGTTTAATCACTGTAAGCTAAGAATTTGTGTATGTTCTGTGAAGTCTTTAAGTCACTGTATTTAAGATGACCTTAATTTACATTTGGATATTGCAAAGTTAAGGCATTATCCTGATGCATCCTTAGGTAATCCTTGGTACTTAAATGGATTTTGGTATTTGGTTTGTGTTACTTGGATTAATGTAACATAAAGTGTTCCAAGAGACGATTAAAAATCTGCAGGAAAGTTGAGCACTCATGTTAGAGATACATGTTAAAATTCCAAGCCATGTACTTGAAATAAACTTTTTCTTTTTAACCTTTTAAATTCCAAATTTGACCAATCAGTGCTTTCCTGTAGCTGTACAAAAATCTTTTTTTTCTTTGCTAGTAGATCTCCCCTATCTACACAAATCCGTAAGTGTATCCAATTAGGATGTCAAATTCAAATTTGCACCTTAAGCTTTCTTTTTAAAAAAGCGAGATGACAAATTCGAAAGCATAACTATATAAAAATGCTTACTAAAAAGCTCTCTCCACCACAAATGAATGTAAATCACTTCAGCACTTAAATTATTTTTAGAAGTGATCAGACCAAACTTTAAAAAGTCCAGACTAGATGCTGATAGTGACAATAACTCTACTAAGGTTGCTTATTTTAATCACAAACCATCATTCATTATCTCATGCTCTCCAATCACTTCTGAAATAAGATACCATATGATGCAATGCACCCAGGTCTGATGATGGAGGAGAAAACAGAAAACAATTTTATTTTTAGCCTTACTCTGAAATTAAAGATGTTGACAGAGCCTGGGTGTCTGCCCAACGGGCACAGTGCTGCTGGTTCCTTCAAACGGACAAAAAAACAAAAAGAGGGGAACACCTACCGATGTGCACTAAGGGGAAAGGGTAAGTTTTACACTTCATTCCAGCACGGCTCCCATTCAGGACAAAACACACCACACAGTTTCACCACTCCCATTTAGAATCCGTAGACGGACCATGAAAGACAAGAAAATTTCCTTTCTTTCTATGCATTTCTTCAAGAGTCAAGGCTCAGTGAGAGGTGAAGAGAGCTCTTCATCCCTCCTATTTTTAAAAGCCTGTTAGCCTGCAGTACACTCATCTGCAAAGACGATTCCAGACACAGCGCTGCTCTGCTGAATTGGACTGCAGCATCGCAGGACTCTGCCAAAGGCAGTTGTTAAGGAGAGAAAGAACACAGCTGGGAGCTCTGCTCCCAAACAAAAATCTAGATACTAAACAGGAGCTTTGATAGCTCCTTGCAGTGACAGCACAATACATCTTCTCTATGGGAGAAGGTGCCAAGGAGGCCCAACTTGCAACCCATGTTTCCACAGATCACCCTTCCTCACAGATTGGGGCATGCTTGGCCACTACTAACACTAACTGATTCAGAGAAGGAAAGTCAGCTTTCTCTTTTCAGTGCATTTGGAACTAAGTGGTCTTTGCAAACGAACATACCGGATGCAGGAACTACTACCATTCTCTTACATGAAAGATACTGCCCTTGGAACCAGAAGAACCAAAACAGAGTTTTGAAAGCTTCCATCAAAATGAGGTCGCTAAAAATATTTGAAAGAAGAGTGTCAACTTGCAAAAACCTACTTTTTAAACTAGTTAAACGGAAAACCACTGGTTGGCAAACCAGGCCCAACTTGTTGGCAGAGAAGGCCAACTGCAGAAGACAGAATTAGTAGTTTGATAATATCCAGCATGCAATAGTTTGGGGCTCTGGAGTTACTGAGATGAATTTTATTAGAAGTGACACAGAGAAGGTTATGAACTGCTATGAGGAAAAAATAAGAGTCATGTTTCCTTTGACCACAGAGTCTTGTACACGATCCCATAGCCTCCAGAACCTGTACTGTGTATCCCTCCTTCTCTAGTACTGTTTTATTTAGAGGTCCACTCAAACGGAAAAGGAAATTCAAAAATGTGTTCATTGCTACAGAATATCCTCTAAAACCTGTGTGAATAAATAAACCTTAATCTTGGAATTACTATGTTCACCCCTGCCTGAAATTAACGCTTGGGTTTTTATAGTCATTTCAGTTACGCACTTTTTATTATTGGAGCTTTTAGTGTAAGAAAAGATCCCAATTTTATCATAAAAGCAGTTACTTGGTCTAGTTCTAGGTCTCTACATAGCGACAAAAACCAGCAACCACTGAATTGTCTGGACTCGACAGGTAATCCTAAAGGAAAGAACAGCGCTGGAATGCTGTTTCCTTCTGTCAACGTACGTGAACATGTGTATCTTCTTGGGGGTAGGGGACGGAAAGGAGGGAGCTTTCACATAATTCCCTCATCCCTCATCAAATTATCCAAAACATCTACAGCCAAAAAAATTTAAAATTGGCTGTCTACTTTCAGACAACTAATTTCTAAGGGCACTACTACTTAGTAACTGCCAAGTATGTGAACATACCTGAGTAAGAGTTTAAATGCTTAGGCGACTATTTTAATACAAAGACAGCTAGTGTTATTTTATCATGTCATGCACCAAGGAGGACAAAATAAGAATAATGTAACAGGACAGCCCAGCATACAACAACATAGATTATCGACCCACACAATGAAAGTCAGCAAACTAAACAACCCCCCAAAAAACTAAGGTACTGAACTAACAAAAAAAGCTACCATTAATAAAGAACATATGAAACTTCATGGCTAAGTAAACATTCCGTTGTTACACAAATCACTAAAATGCATAAGCAAGTGCCAAGAGCAAAAACCAAAACACATGATATGATAAAATGTAGCTACCAGATGCAAAGGTACGGAACAGCGGAGAGGAGATTATGCTTCCTCAGCCCCTTCCAATTAGCAGTGCCAGCTATAATGGATGTGCTCCACATCCTGTGATGCAGTATCAGGCATACAATCCAACCCCCGTAAGTCCCCCCCATCTACCCCATGACTACAGCACTTCCGCTTAGCATGATCATATAAAGAAAAGGCTTAAGTTTTCTGTCCTTTTAATCAGTCTCTTAAGAACAGTTTCATTTAATTATTGCCTTTGGTGTTTGTGGAGCTTTGTAGACTGTAGAGGTTATACTCCACTCGGTTAATACTGAGCATATGAAGTTTCTTACCTCCAATATTCTGGATAATTATTGTAGTTGCAACAAGGACCTATAAAAAAAATTTATTTCTTTAGAAAGGGTAAGGATAACTAAAATCGTATGTCTATAGCAGTCATAAAACACATATGTATTATCTTAAACAGACCAGATGTTGAAGCGATAACTGGTACTGAAAGGAAGGGCATCTTCTACTGAAGAGTTTAACACATGGAAACCAACGCAATCTAAAATGAATATAAAAGCAAAAAATCTCCCTGAAAATACTGCATTTTCATTCTGAGATGACAAAAAAAGAGGAGTTATAGAGTGAAGCCTGTTCTGCAGAAGATGAGGTTTTTAAATCACTGAAAACATGTAAGTGCATTCTAATTGACATCAGGTGAGTACAAATGAAAACAAACATTCACCTCTGAAAAGAAAATCAGACAGCAGAGATTTGTACAAGCTACTTCCTCACTCCAAAAACCTGCATATTTTTAACTGTCATGAATGTCATTATTCTTTTAAACTTATAAGCTAGATAGACTTTTCTTTAGCATTTGTGGTTATTCATATTGGACTGACACGGAAATAGAAATGATCACAGGCTATTAAAATATTTGTCTGAATCCAAAGAATTAACTTCCAACTGAAAAAAAAACCTAGAAGTGTCTAAAATTTCCCCAGTGTTTTCTTTTCAGTTCAGTTCTAAAACAGTATGATCATCTAGTACAGTTTTTCTTTTTACCCACCGCTCTTCTTGACGTAGCAGGACCTTCCTACATGAGTGCTACCATTAAGTCAACTTGGAAAAATTAAGCCACAGTTATGAGAAGAAAAACAAATTTTTATGTTTGAATAAAATCTGAAAGCAGAGTTGTCATTTTTTCAATTGAACAGCTAGAAAGATTTTAAACTAATTCAAAGTCAGTTCAAAAGTCACCAGGGGATGAAAGAAAAAAAAAAAAAAAAAGTATGGTATCTTGGAATTTGCCATAGATGGAAACAAGTACTTCATGTCTTTGGAAAGGGAGAATCGGCAATCTTCCAATAGCAGAAAAATCTCCATCCTCACAAATCTCAGAAAAATATGTTTGACAGGAAATCGCCATAAGGTTGAATAACTGCTCTGCTTCAAGAGCAGTTAACCAGTAGTTTACTGTCAACCTAAGACGCCAGTTCAAGCAAGGTCCTACAGCAGTCGGTCTGTATCACTGGCAAATGACTCGGCTGAGGGAAGGGTAAGTGCTACTTTAAAGAAAAAAAAATAAAAAAAGCCACCTGTGCCTGACTGAAGTGAGGAGCATTCAGGGACAGAATTAGAATTCAGAACGGTTATAATAAACTAGAAAAGTCTAAAAATCAACAAGATCAGTTAAAAGCAATGCATTCAGGAAGTAGATCTCAAATATATGACTTTAAGAGTTATTAGACTGCAAATAGAGAAAATAGTCTGAGATAACACAAATCAGTAGCATGAAGCACCCACAGAAACGGCAAATCTTGTTTTGGGACGTAGTACCGGCCATGTTCTACCTAAAATATAGGTAATAATTACATTTCTTGTCACTGTCAAGGTCTCAGCCAGCTTAACTGTGTTCCATTTTGCAGGCAAGTTTTAAAAAAGGTGTACAAATATCAAAGGTACTTCAAGCGAGAAAGGTAAGTGTTCCAGAAAATGTCAGTTCATCGGGAAAGCTTGGTGAACTTTGGTTAATTATTTTATTAAAACAACAGCTTCCCAACCTAGAAATGTTCCAGTGCTCTCCATGCACACTGAAAATAAAAAACCAGATGATTTTTAGCACAAATTATTTAAACTGAGAATTATGAAAAAGTGTATTAGGAAAAATAAAAAAAATTACTGATGTTGACTACATAGTGAAGCTGTGAAATCTCCTTCATTTAAGCTTTTAAATAACAGATTAGACAAACATCTGCCAAGAATGGTTTATGTATATTTAGCCCTGCTTCAGAGCAAAGGCAGACTAAGTCACATTTTAATATCTCCTTAAGCTCTACATTTCTGACTTCTGCATCTAATGGCTTGTGGTTAACGTGTACAGAACAGCTCCTGTAAAAAATAATTCTATTTCATACCTTGCTAATATCAAGGTTTATTATCTCTTGAGGTTGATCACATCTTAACTCTGATCGATAAATATTGATCCTCACAGACTACACTCATATCTGCTTATTAATGCTAACGGAAGTCTTACAAACACCTAATAGCTCAGATTTAATTCTCAGTTACATTAAAACAGAAGAAATTAGACTCTAGACTGTTAAGCAGAACTCATTTTAAAAAAAAAATTACATTGTTTCAGTAAACCATTAAAATCGCACTTCTGTGTGGTAAAATCTGCTTTCGGCATCGTGTAACTGAACCACAGAGCATAGAAGTCATAATATTAAATGTGCAGTATTCTCAAGTAGTATTTCCTGTGCACCCAGTATTACTGGGCAACATCATCTATTAGGAAAAACAGATTCAGTACACACTACTAAAAAGGCACGGCTTACATGCCGATCACTCTTATACCAAAAATGGTTAGTTTGCTGGTGGTTTTGGTTTTTGTTTAATCATGAGATAAAACAAGTAAGAAACATTCATCTGAAGAGTTTATTAAACAGAAAAAAAAAAATTAACATGCATTAAACGTACTCTTATTTGTTCCTATTGTGGAAACTACACGAAAGGCAAACAGTTATCTTAGATCTCTCTTAAATGCTAGAACACCAAGAGTAAATCACTTACATGTCTCTTAACAGTTTACAGCAGAGGTACGATGGGACTGTACCAAACCTGAAACGGATTGCTGAGCCAACTTGACAACAATGCCAGTGAGCAAATACTTGTACATACAACTAAAAAATGAACACACTGACAGGAAAGTAGCACAAAATCTTGCATTTAAGGACTGTCTATTTTACAGTTAGCTAAAGTTTTGGCTTCCACAGACCAGACACACTAACTGAAACATAGCAAAAAGCTTCAGGACATAACGGATTTTTCAGTATACTAGGACGTCAGTAATTATAGTACTTATTTCATTTATCTCTCTTTACTATGCAAAGAACAGTTGTTCATTTATATCTCTTTACTATGCAAAAAACAGTCTCATGCATCAGAAGCATGAGACCAAGAAGAAAAATACACAGGTAAAAATAAATACTCACCTTTCCAGTTGATCCAAATGCAAACAGGCCAAGGTCTTCATAGGAAGTGACAGCTGTTAGTAAGGAAAAACAAAGCTAAAATATTTCTAACTTCAAAATCACTTGAAAGCTCTAGCTTTGCCTTTTTTCCCTTTTTAAATGAACATAATCCAGGACAGAATTAAAAGAGTATTTTACAGTATTTTTTATTTACAAAATAGCTTTTATATACACCTGTACTCCTGCTACAAAATACAGCTCTATGCTCGACCATTCAGAGACTCTCCAGAAACTCAATTTAATATTCAAAATAGTAATATTTAAAAAATAATAATAATACATTAATGGCAAATTGCCTTCTCCCAAAGATTTTTGCAAGTGATACTATAGATGAAGAATTCTGAAATTAGCCTCAACAATTAGATATAAGATATTCCCATATTTTATTTGTTCAAAGGGTACTTTTTTTTATTTTAAATGAAGACAACAACAGAGGCAACATTTTCATCTTTCTATGAATATAAACATCAGTCACCATCTTGCCAGCTTTCAAAAACTCGGCACTCTTTATTTTCAAGAGAGCTGAAGGTAAACGCCTTCCTTGGTTGAAATGCATTATTAAAAAACAAATCAAAACACACCAAAGCAAAACCAAAAAACAAAACAAAAATCCTGCCCTTACCTGCATCTGACTTACATGATCACATTAAAATACCCTGTGGTTTGGTTTCCTGTACGCTTTCGTTGAGTTTTAGCTGAAGCTCACTTCTAATATTGCTGGTAACTCAAACCAATCCCTTCTCAGAAAGAAGGAAGTCATATTAAAGTCTTTCATTGCTGCTCTGTACTTTGTTATTAGAAACTCAAGCGATATCAAAAAGATGAAAGTTTTCTCAGAAATACCACTCACTTTCTCGGTATATAATAAAACGGTCCGCAGTTGTAAATGCCTCAAAGTGTAAAATTAATCTCAAAACTATGTAATTTTATTGTCACAACATTTCCTTTCTCTTCCTTGGTTCTCCCTGGTACATTACTGCTTCTACTCCTGTCACATCTTAATTTAGGGCCCAGCCCTGCAATTTGAGCTGCTGAGGGCAGACCTTCACACCTGAGTGAAGTCCCACTGAGGTAAATGAAACAAGACAGGGGAGACGCAGGCGGTTCAGAGAGATCAGATGACGGACTGGAGCCTCAGACTGCCAACTGCCCCAGCTGAGGCGTTTTGATTTCACTGAAGATCTGCACACAATCAGATCAATGCTCCAGAGGAAAAAAAACAAGCCAAACAAACAAACAAAAAAAACCCCTTCATTAATTTTCTCATATGATTCTCTCAAGGGCGATGTTTCACATTCTGCTCTACCACTGACACCAATACGCTATGACAAAATAAATGAAATGACAAAATTAAATGAGCCAGAGTCAGCTCTCAGCATAAGCCTGGACTAATCTTACATCTGCCGTTACACTGATACAAGTTATATAAAGATATAATTAAACAAGTAGTATGTCTTACTAGATTTTACCCTGCTTTTTTCTTAGGTTTCTATTTATAAAATTGTTGATGACAAGGGAAAAAAAAAAAAGCATTTTAGAAGGCCATCTCCAATGGCATTAAAAAAAAAAAAAAAATCAGTAAAATGTTAAACATATTTAGGAGACAGTTGTTTTTACCACATGGGAAAAAATACACAGCACACACATGAGGAGTTACCAACAAAGAGAACAAAATTTTCCACACAATTCCAAAACAGCAATACGAAACCTTAGAATATTTTCTATAGTAACTCTGTTTCTGTAATCAATTTAGCCCTGCGAACACTGGGAAGCCCTAATACTTAATCACATTACTTTTGTAATTTCAAGAATATATGGAACAAAACATTAAGCACAACTGACATAAAGATAAACAAGTTCTGCCTGATTGGCTTGATTTCTGTTATGTTATTAACACTAAATGGAAGTTATCCATTTAAATGCAAAGTGAAATTGGCAAGTACAGTATGAGCAATACTCATGACTAACTCATAAAATGAAAAGAAAAAAAAGCCATGAAACTTCCAAGTACATCCCACTTAAATTCCCAATTCCTCCGCTTTACAGAGTAAGCTTGGCGTTTGTCAGCCCAAACCCCAAAACAATGTAGGTCGTACTGAATTAACACCGGGAGAAAACATTGACTAAACTAATCCTAATCTAACACTTGACACTTAGCAATATTTTTTTGCTAAGCCTTTTGGTCTACACAAATCATTTGATTTTGTCAAAGTCTAGACCAATGTAATTTAAAAATCAAAGACACTTCTTTATTTTTAAAATACAACTAAAATGCCTGTGCTTAATAAATCCTGGTCTCTGTTGAAAATGGAATTAATATTAGAGCTTCCTTTTCAGAAGGTATTTTATAGGTCAGCTCTTTCCTAGGATTACTTTTATGATTTGAATACCTGAATGAATAGTTTACAAACGCTTTCAAAGGTTTTTCTTCTCCACCCTTTGAATTTTTCTAGCTCATTTTTTAATATAAAACTACTAAAATTTCTTTCCAATTCCTTCCCATGGATTAAGCTTAATACTATAACTTTATTCACAAATGCATGTAGGTTTTACAAAGACAAATGTTCAATTATCTACTTTGGAAGCAAACATGTACACAGCTTTTACTTTGTCAAGGCACAACGAGTCATATTTCTTACTTTTTAAAGACAATGTTCCAAGGAAAAACTTGGAATTATAACAGGAAATTACTTCAAAAGTTTACAGGAATTATAGTAAATATAATCTATTAAAAAAAAAAATTAAAAAAAATCAAAACACAGAAGGCCATAAATCCAGCAAATTTATCTAGACATAGTTCTGGTGCTAGTATTACCTGTCAACATTATGCGATAACTAATCATTAACTGTAAAGTGCTGGTTTCAGACAAGAGAAATACTTCATCCTGTCATTTCAGGGGTATTCCTTGCTTTCAGTTGTGCGTATTTAAAAAAAGCTTTCTTGAGGTGGAACGTTGCCTTTGGACAACAACTGAGGAGTTAAACCATTCTTGTATATTAGGTCTCTAAGTTCATAACATGGAAACTTTTCTTACTTGAAAAAGCTTGAATCCTTAGTTTTCCCCTCTCCCTGGTAGTTTTTGCAAGGATCTCCGATTATTATTTTAGCAGACAACAACATAATACCACCTAGTGCCTATATAAAACAGAACTTTTGAGCCTCAAATAAGAGGTAAACAAAAATCATAAAAAAATTATCTCAAGTTTCCCCTTTTTTGCTTCTTATGTATCTTTCTAGCTACTTATTTCAGGTTCTAACTCCTTTCTAATAAGCAGAGCTCCAAGAGGAGAAAAAAATTACCAAAGACTTCGTCCCAAATCATCAAGCAGCCAACAATATCATCCATAAAAGTAACCCTACCTCTGGAAAGTATTTTTTAAGAATGCATGAAGAAGATCACTCAACAGGTGAAGACAGGAGCAGCAGATCTAAGAAGAATCAGGAAGCAATCATCTGAGAGACCAAAGCTAGCTGTAGACAACAGAGCCAATAAGGAAAGAAACGGAAGCTTTCTCCCACCACCTTTGAAAAGAGAGGAAAACAGATGAGAGGGAAACAGGTGACTGAAAGAGATGGAGAATTCCTGCTGTAACGCGATCTTTGGGTACGAGAACTCAAGGAACTAGTCGGTTGTTTCAGTAACAATTAAAAGCAGCAAGAATTAAAACATTAGCGGAATAGATTGCAGATATTAGAATCTACTGTTTGAACATTCTCAAAGCAGCGTAATTTCTAAGGACTGCAATGTGACTTCTCATTCAGTATCAAAGATACTGTAAATACCTGCATCTGTAAAGTGCCATGAGAATTATGATAATCCAATACGATTACAAAACCTGAAAGGTGTCCATTTCAAACCGTAAACAAAATATATATTACAAGTAGAAGAATGAAAGTCCACTGAAAGCAACAGTACACACTGAAGTAGAGCGGTCCAGCCAGCACCAAAATGATTTTGCTACAGAAACACAGGATCTATCTTTTTGGAAAGATGAGAGGCATTTTGAAAAACTTAAAACTGGAAATCTAGAAACCAGTCAGTTTGGCATTATACTTTTCATAAGCAGTTTCAAAATTGTATTTTTGAATGGCAAATATCAATCATTAAAAATGTTAAATATTTCAACATCACTGAATCAGACACAGCTAGTGACTGGCAAATAGTAATCATTAAAAATTTTAAACATTTCAACATCACTGAATCAGACACAGCTATCTGTTAACATGCTGTCAATTACAATAATTATGCTGGGTCATGTCTTTGCGATATAGGTGAGGAAGCATTTCAGAGATCAGTGTTAGATAAATCCTTTTCACTTACCAGTCTGAGTGCACATACTGAGCAGAAGAAATACCGAGTAAGAAGCAAGGGTGGCAACAATCAGCAACAAGATACTAAAAACCACAAAATATTTACGATTAAGGCACTTTTAGAGTACAATGCACTTTCTATCTTTAAGAATGCTACTTTTCCAAGAAGTAAGCTACCACAAGACAGGATTTCCTCATTTTATTGCTTATGTCTGCTGACTATGGTTCATACGGTCTCTGACTTTCCCAATACTTGCTAAGTTCTTCTGCTTCTTATATTGTCTACCGAAGCACATCACATACTATACAGGGTGAAGACCCAATATATCAATTACAAAGAGGACATAAACATCAGAGTGTCTGTACACAGACAAATATGTCTCTTCTAATGAAGTTAATCTAATGCTTAGAAAATGGTAAAAGCGACAATTCTGGTGACTTTGGCCCCGTTATCCATAGGTTAGTATGTACAACAAGCAGAAGTGCAAACAAAAGCACAGGCTGATTCCCATTTTTCAGATACGTAGCCATCCTACTCCAGAAGGTCCATTTCTGGAACTAAAGGAGAGAGCAGCTTTAAAATGTAAATATCAATCTATTAGGAGTAATGGCCAAGAAATTGCCACCATGTGGCAATTTAATGCAATTTCTCAGCAGTACTTACCTTAGGCCAGATTTGAATGACTAAACCAAAGGAGGAAGATCTTATTCAACAATGCTGAAAAGCACCAGCTATTTATTTCTTCCTCAGTTTTTTGCACAGGAGTCTTAGTAATCAAGTTTTTGTTCCATTTAAAACTACAAGCTGACGTTAAAAGTAAGTGTACATAAAAACTGAGAACTTACCTAAACCCCATGATCCCTGTGTTGGCCATAGCATAGGATAAGCCAAGTATGCCACTTCCCATGATTGCATTCATTAAATTAAATACTGAGAAACCAAAGGAAGAGCCACGATTTGGAAGATTCTGTGAAAAGGGCAAAACAAAGTACAATTAGTGCGAGAGGTGTTTTGGTCTTTCATAAGAGGAAATTTAAGGGAGGGGAGAGCCAATCAACTTTTCCTTCCCTAATGTAAATCAGAAAATCTCTTTTCTCATTCTAAGACCACGCAAACCCTCGTGCATATAAAATAACACGATGCTGTCCCATAAGGATCTCAAGACGACTACAGCCTTTGAGTACGGTGCTGCTAGAGCGCAAAAAGAGGGCAGCAAGATTTATGCTTAAAAGCAGGCTACCCCTGGGTGCTCGCAAGAGGAGCGCGGGGCAGAGCAAATGGCAGCACTTCCAAGAGCTGTGCAACCCAAGCATCAAACGGATCAGAAGAAGCGCCAGGACCAGACGTTCAGCTTCACGGGCCCGGTACTGCCCCGCGCTCCCGCGCCCCTGCCCGCCCCTTCCCGCTGCCCTCGCCAGGTGTCACCCCACGGGAGCCGCCCGCACAGCCCGGTCCCCCCCTCCGCCTCCCCCCTCCGCCCAGCTGC